TATTCCTCCATTTCAGGTAAACTCGAACAAATGCCAGAAAATAAGAAAAACGAACGAGATCGGCAGCAGATTCGTCGAAGTATCGCCAAATATTATTATGCTGATGATTCCACGACCAAGCTGCTTGCAGTCGAAGGACGAAGTTAGTTTTTCGACGTTTGCTTTTTGAAATGATTACTCAACTCAACATTTCTCTTTGATTTCACATAGTTTTCCCTCTAGATTGTGTTTGATTTCAGTTCTTGGTCTTGATAAGCCTCGGTGTACAGTAACGGTGACGAATAATGCATCACAGTTTTGGGAAAGTAAACATATTGGCGTCTTCTTTCTTCCCAGAAGTGACTCCAGGACCGTTGCTTTCTGAAAAAAAGCTACATGCTCCAGCATGAACACAATCAAGGAAACAGGTTTCCGAAGTTCCTGTTTTTTACAAAATTGAGACCTGAAAAAAATGATAAGCCGATAAAAGATGAAAGTTTGTGATTAGTAAAAAAACTATCAATGCTGAAGACTAGCCTGACAGGTGCAGATGGTTGTGGTCACATCAACTGCACTTTTCGAATTCCTCCCTCGGCCCTTTTCTTTCTGGTGGAAGAATGAAGTTGATATCAGCATTATGAGCCTGTCGTTGTTGCTCTGCAAAACAAAAAATACAAGTCCTCATAGTTGATAGAAAAAACCGTTACTTACAAGTGAGTGCTTGTACTTCTTGAGATCTGCGTAACAATGCTGAAACTTTTCATTCAATTCTTTGAGCTCCTTCTCGTCTTTCAGCGTTTGCAGTACGGGTCGTCTTTTGTCGACCATATCCATGATGGTCTAAACATGCAAGTAGGATATGGTGTTTTAGATGGAATTTTTGATATGAAACTTTCCAGAAAAGTCTGAATGTTCCAAAAAGAGTTACGTTGGTCTTGTGATAAAAACACGCATTCGGAAATCATGGGTGACACAGTAAACGAATACTGACCCTCTGCTTCTTCTTCAAGATATCAATGTAAAACTGGGGCTTATCAAGACCGAGAACTGAAATCAAACAGAATCCAGGGGTGGGGGAAACGATGTAAAATCCAAGCAAAATCTTGATCGAGTAATCACTTTGAAAAGCAAACGTCCAGAAACTTACTTTGTCTTTTGATTGCAAGCATCTTGGTCGTTGAATCATCGACATCATAACAATTGGCGATACTTTGATGAATCTGCTGCCAATCTCGTTCGTTTTCCTTATTTTCTAGCATTTGCTCGAGTTTTCCGGTCTAAATCATGAAAGAACGGAAATCAATATAGAATGCATGCTC